AAGGAAGGAAGAAAGGAAGAAAGAAAGGAAGAAAGGAAGAAAGGAAGAAAGGAAGAAAGGAAGAAAGGAAGAAAGGAAGAAAGGAAGAAAGGAAGAAAGATGAAATAAAACCAACCATGGAGCGTTAGAGGATCAGCATCCATTGCAACAGATGTATGGAATACAGTTCTGAGAAAGGAATACATATGCGTGTTTGTGTATAACACAACAGCTGTTGTTATGGGGTTGGGAGAGGAAGACAGAGAATGGTAAGAGACAATGGAAATTGCCTAGTGCCCTTTGGATAAGGTGGATTTCAGCTTGCATAATCCCTAGTCAAGGTGGATATGCCAGCTAGATATGATGCGATGGAAGCTGAAGCCAAACACATCTGAAGGATATCTGGTTGGGAAAGGCTGTTATATGCACAGTGACCTGAAACAACAACAACAACAGAAGTTAGATGGGACCCAGACATGCCTCCACCGATGAGCTGGTTAACACAGTGATGGGTTTATTGGTAATTTTTAAAAAATGCTAGCTCATCTACCCTTTTTTCTCCAGCATGGTCATATTGAGGTTGGTGACACAGGGTGGTACTCTGGAGAATTAAAAGTTTCCAAAGCCTTGAAAGTGATCAAACAATGTATGTTCCATGGCCATTTGAAAACACCAAAATTCTCTCACTATTGAATAAACCTGAACTGGAAATATAATCCAAACAGGAAATATGGTTGTTGACCAGTCATTGATTAGCCTCTGGAGTATAGAAGAAGTTACAACGTAGATTTCTTTTTCTTTGGCTATGTTCACCTAACATGCCATGCCCATGCCATGTTTAATTGGCTAACTGAACCATAGTTCACTGAATTAACTCAATCCTGTGGTTCACACAACTCAATAAGCCATATATTAACTGCATAATTGGATTCACAGGATACACTGAGGCACAAGCTAGCCAATTTTAATGCTGCCTTCCCCAACATGGTGCCCTCCGGATGGGTTAGACTTCAACTCCTACAGTTCGGGAGTTGAGGAAGTCTTCCAGACGAAGACACAGTTCCAGCAGTGGGGTGAGATGAGATCTCCCTTGATTACAATGCATCGTAATGGGAGGTTGTGAAGGGTTTCAACTTATTCCTGTGCCAGTGAAGTTGAATTCATGGTCAGGGAAAAGCCACTTGAAGGCGGTGGACGCCCTGTGGCTTGGTCCCCATAGTTAAAACATAGTCAAATGCTAGCAATTTATTCTCTTTTATTTTCGGAAACAAGGAAAATATATGAGTTTAGGCCAGTGTTTCTCAACCTTAGCAACTTTAAGATATGAGGACATGCTCAGAACGCCCTAATATCAAAACAGGCCCTGAAATAGCCAGAAATAAATCACTCCCAGAGATATTTTGAACTGGGTTCATAAGAGTTGAGGGATGGAAAAACAGACCATCTGAAAGGCAACCGCTTGGGAAAGGCTGACCTTGCCTGTTGTGGGAACTCAGCTAATTAATAAATATGATTTTTTCAGAAGTTCTGGATGGCTGCTTCCTCATTCATCTTCCTTTTCCTCCCCACCAGTTCTCTCTCCTGCATTTCTCCGACAAATCTTGGGAGCATTTTGACTTCAGATATTTCCAAAACCATCGAAACCTAGACACCGTGCTACAACACGCCAGTCAGCTGGGTGGCTCTTCCCACACGGCCACTGCCATCCGGAAAGCTATGTAGGTCTCTGGGTGTCCTTTCCTTTTTCCCGACCCTGGCCTGGGTTCCTTCCTCGCTTTTGCTGGATCTGGGTTGCTGCTTCCCCTACCATGGAGCCTTTGCTGTGGGGGAACACTGCACCCTTGGAATGTCTGCCTGCTGGGCCAGGAGACAGCTCTGGAAAAGAAAGTGGGCAGTGGCACTTCTCTTTCTCTCCCCCCCCCCCCCCCATTTATAAGGGAGCAGTTCACCCCGCAGAAAGGTGCTCGCAGCAATGCCAAGAAGTTCCTGGTGGTTGTGACTGACAAGAAGAAAGCCGGGGACCCCTTGGAGTATACAGATGTTGTCTGGGAGGCTGAGAGGGCTGGAATCACGCGCTTCGCCGTTGGGGTGAGGTCTGCCTTATTTGTCTTGTAATTTATTTCCGCATTTTGTTATCCCACCCTTTAGCTCAGGGGGCTTAGATCAGTCTTTTTGAACCTTGGCAACTTGAAGAATGCTGGACTTTAATTCTCAGAATCCCCCAGCCAGCATACTGCTGGGGGATTCTGGGAAAGTCCACCCATCTTCAGGTTGCCAAGGTTGAGAAACACTGGCTTAGATGATGGAACTCAACCAGGATCATGGAGAAGGCCACCAAGGTCACCTCTTCAGCCCAGAGCCTCAGGTTTTGTTGTTTTTCATACTGGTTGCTTTTATTGTTTTTTTACTTTGTTTTAATTGTTAGGTGCCCAGAATCATGGATGAGTGGCCTATTAGATTAGATAGACAGATGATAGATAGATGATAGATTGATAGCTAGATAGATAGATGCAGCAGTGATACACATAGACACTCCTGGATCCATCTGCCTTTATTTCCCCCTACAACCTTCTTTACTCTTTATGCTGCTCTGAGTAGGGTCTTCCCCCTGGTCATGGTCTGGAATCTGCTCCCTCTTTTCCTTCATGTCTGAAAGTTTGGTGGCCTTTAAAAGGGGTATGAAGACTTTTTGAATTGGGTACTGGGTAGGGTTACCAGATATCGGCAAAAGGAGGACATTTTCTCCTTTTTGTCCTCATGTCCTCCATCAGGCAAGCACAGCAGTAAAATCAAATATTGTCTGGCTTTTTGAATGTCTTGTTTTTTGTTTTAATTTTATTTTGGACTGTTTTCACAACAGCAGTCATTCAAACTGTTGTGTATGGTGACCTTGCAAACTGTCTGCTTTTTTTCCCCCCTCGTCTGTCAACAGACTCGACAGCCTAGATTTACGTTATTTATTTCCTGATTCCAGCAATCGGCTTCAATCCAGCCCTTTCAAATCTATGACCATTGTAGTCTGTTGATCACATGACTCACCATACATTTCTAGGGTGAAATTTGAAGAGTGTGTCATTGTTGATTCTATATTATCGCTAGCACATTTTCTTGAAAATTAAGATTTGTTGGGAAAATATTGCAATTGAAAAACCAGTCTTTCTGATACTGGAAAAAGTTATTTCATAAACACATAGCCTTTTTTTTTTTTTTGCAGTTTTTCACTCTGTTTGTTGCAGATGCAAGAAAATGAAAAGAGTTAGTGTGTCCTCCTCCCCCTCCCATTTGTCCTCTTCTCCAATTGTCCACATCCTCCTTTGCCTGTTCAGATATCTGGTAACCCTGGTAGTGGGTGAGTGTGGGGCCTGGTTATCCCACCCTCCTCCCTTTAAACTTAACCATTCCTAGATTAATTCTTCTTTCATTGGAATTAATGGTGGTATTGTGGGAAGTTGTTTTAAACCTGTACGTGGTTGTTGCATTGGTCTGCGTGAGTGTGAAAATGTGCTTTCTGCTTTGGCTGTCATATCATGAGCGACTTTTATTGGATGGAATTTTGGAATTACTGGGTTCTTCGGATTTGTACCACACTTTTGTAAAGGCACAGATTAATAACTATTATTATCACACATTATCATCATTGCTACCAAAATAAAAATAGTCATTGGCTCCAGCCCAGTGCTTTGTGTGAAAGTCTGTGTGTTAGTCCAGGAAAAAATAAAATAAAGATGGTGGTGGTAAAGAATATCCTGGGGAGAGCTAAAAGGGATAGCACAAAGCTTTGTCACCAATTTGCCTTCTGCTTTATGGATGTTTTGTGACAGTTCATAGAAGCCATTTTACCAATAAGCAAATCTCCCCTTCCCGCAGCAACCATTTTGTGAGTGTGCCCACATCACACTCTCAGACTTCCAAATGTACTCAGAAAGATTGTCTGTCTGTAATACTTAATTCACTTAGTGACTGCTTCACTTAACAACCAAGTTGCTGGTCCCAATTGTGGTCGCTCAACCAAGACTACCTGTATTTACAAGCTAGTCTTAAGCATCAAAATTTTCTAATCGCAATTGCTTCCCAAAGTTTCAACAGGGCCAGGCGTGCTCATCAGGTAGAAACCAAGAGGAATCTGTTCTTGCTGTTGATAAGAGTCTGCAGACTTCAAAGGCTGGCTGGAAACACTGTTTTCCAAAAATCAGCCCAGCCTGCTGGTAAAAGTTAATAATCAACCTGTTTGAAACCTGAAGAGGAGTAGTTGGTCTGTAATTACCAACATTTGCAAACTGAACACGCCCTTACAGATTCTGTCAGAGCTGTTTTGGTGTTGCTCTGTGACAGGTAATACCCCAGTTGCCTGCAACTTGACGGCACGCCTCTATGCTGGTTTATCAGGCAGAGGCTCCATTTTCTGGTGGCCCTCCTCTTTCGTTCTGATTTTGCCTGTGGAGGATGCTGTAACATTAGACCTTGCAACAAGGTTTCCTGGATTAAAAGTTAATTTCTGAGCGTGGTGATGGATGTGTTATTGCAGTGTTTCTTTGCCTGAAGTCCACATGTCTTCAAGTTGCCAAGTTTGAGAAACACTGTGTGTTTCTTTGCTTAAACTGAGAGTCAGGGATCTAGTGGTTCAGGTGTTGGTCTAGGGCAGGGGAAACCTTTTGGGTCATAAGGAGGCACATTTGGAATACAGACAGCATGTAATTACACAATACAGCCCTATTCATTGTTCCTTACGGAAAACTTGAGGAAGCCTACAGAACTACGCTCTGCTTTGGTAACACAGGAAGTGTCTGCCACGTTCCCGAGTGAAGCATGATTGGTTGAAGATGGATTTGTTAAACAAGCTCAGGTTGCAGATGAAGATATTTGGCCAGGATTCCCTTCCTTTCCTCTCTGTTTTGCAGACCACATGTGCAACTTAGCCTCCCTTTGCAATCTTGGACGTCTGGCTTGTTTCTACCAATTTCTGTAACTTTGTTTTTCATCTATTACCTGTAGAACTTTTTTAAACTGTTAAGACTTATGATCAGAAATAACAAACTTTACCTGCATTCAGGTCTGTTCCTTCCAGACCGAGCAAGTGCACCTTGGGTAAGGAACATTACCAGCCCATGTGGTGATGGTGAGGGAAGCAGGGTTACCCCCAAGTGTTTTTACAGGCCCTTTTAGATACTCAGAAAATGTTGCGAAGAAAGGACTAATTCTGGTTAGCTAGGGAATCTGCGACAAAAAACACAAGTACTGTCCTCAGGGGTACAGCCAACAACATGCAATCAGGTCTTTTACAGTGCTTAGGAAAAATATATGACATTTGGGCAGCAACGTTTCCTAGAATCGTAAGGTATTGGAAACTTGGAGGCGATGAATTCTGGGCCATAGGTAGTCCTTGAAGCTTACTGTTCACCATCTAACTGGGCAGAGGGCTAAGTACAGGTGAACCTAATCTTCTCCTTCGTTTCTACAGACTTCCTTGGACCACCAATACTCAGGGGTCTTTCACTGACTTTCTTTTTCCTGGAAGGTTGGTCCAATGTTCCTAAGCAGAATAGCCCAGCAGGAGCTTCACACCATGGCTTCCCACCCTGCCACGGAGCACGTCTTTGTCCTGAGACAGTTCTCGGATCTCATGGATATCCGATTGAAAGAGAAGATTTGTGCCAGTCACGGTAATAGGATTTGGGCTCTTGGAGAACAGAGAGGAGGAGCACCCATCCATATACCCAAAAAGGGCTAAGCGCACCCTGTGTGTATTATAGCGATGTTGCAGTGAGGCCTGGTCCTGATTAGTAATTCAACCATTTAACAGAGTTTTCACCTGAATATTCCATTCACTTTCTCCTCCTGTAACCTTTTCCACAGCAGGTTTTGGTATTCTGTGGCCACTGCATAGATATTTTACCAGGTTTTTTGGTTTATTTGTTTGTCCTCCTGTAAACCATGGAGTTCTCCCAGGCTAGCTGATACCTGGTTGGTACTTGGATGGAAATCCTCTGCAATATACCAGGGTTGTATATTAGACTGGGTACAGTAGTTGAAAATATATCTTAGGAGAAGGCAACGGCAAATCACTTCCAAACTACATGGGCATGTCCAGGAAGTCACCAGGACTTGGACTTAACCTGAAGGAAGCGTTATCTTTTAATACTGATCATGAGAAGTAAATCACAGCCAAGTAAAGGAAGATAATTTTATTAAGCATCTCAAGATAAACCAGCTGCCAGTTTTTCTCCTTAACAAAACTCTTGCTCCTTAATTGCTGTAATGTGATGGACAAAAATTCAGCCATAGATCATGCACTTCTCAGGGGTAGAAATAGTTCTTGTTAGTCATTGTCTGCTTCTCCTTGTTGGTTAAAATTCTAACAGTTATAACCCCTTTCCCAAATTGACCGCCATGTGGCTGGACCCTTAACTGCTACATACACCTCTGGGTTGCCATACTGTGTGCGTCTACATATAAAGGGTGGTGGTGGTGGTGAGGAAAGAATGATGGCAATTGATTTTGTGTGGTAAAGAGAGCTTGCAGTGGCAGATCGGTGTGAGAAAGGCTGCTTTGTGTCTTCTAGGCCCTGTGATTCCACAGCCCACATTAGCACCCCAGATTTCTTGCGCCTCGCGCTCTGATCCCCGTGTGCTGCAGAAACTGGAGCAAGTGATGCAAGCCCTGGATCAAGTAAAATCCAAGCTGGACCTGCTAGCTGCCAGGGATGGGACCTGTGGACACAATTCACAGGGTTAATGTAGTTTCCAGCAGGAGGAGAGCGATGGAAAGAAAAGTGGGGCAAGCTTAAAGAGTTATATTTGATTCAGACTCAAGGAGCCAAACCTATCTGAATTTAATCTGGATTCCAATATAATGCTGAAGACCCTTTGATGCCAATAAAACCATTAGCTCATCAGTCTTGTACCTGCTTTTTTTAAAAGGTAGCAACAATATATTCCCTTCCTGTAGAAAGCTACAGAGATGACCTTGGAGATACTATGCAGACATGGTAAATAAAATGTATAAAAACATGCTTTAAACCCAAGAATCAAAGAAAACATTAGGAAGAAGACAAGCCCTGCCCTAATTTTGGAGGGTATAAGAGAGCAAGAGAGAGAGAGAGAGAGCAAGAGAGAGAAGGGAAAATGCAGAGAGAGTCTGAAGACTGATGTCAGCCCTTTGAGGTAGGCCAGACCAGGAAACCACAAATTTGACTGAAACTATATTTACTGATACAGACTATAGTAACAGAATCTTGAAGGTCTGACTGTGTTTTTCCTTCTCTTCCTCTTATACTCCATGGAATTAGAGCAGAGCCAGACTTGGTTTCTTCTTAACATTTTCTTTGTTTCTCAGGTTTACAACATGCTTTTGTACATGGTTTTTGCATCTCTGCATAGTTTCTCCAAAGTCATCTCTGTGGCTCTCTACACGTCCTCATCAATGCCCAATGAGCTGCGAGAGCTCTGTTCACTGAGTCTTACAGCAGGAATGGGTAGCGGGTAGCCCTCCTTCGTATGTTGGGCTCCAACTTCCAGAAGCCATAGTAGCATGACTAACAGCAAGAGATGACGGGAGTTGCAGTTCAGCATAATCTCAAAAACCACAAATTGCCCAGTCTGATTTGCAACATCAGTTCAATCCAAATCTTGAAGCATAATGAGCAAAAAACATGCAAAAAGATAATTCTGCATGTACTCCAATGCAATTTTACTCAGAAGTAATCTCTCTTGGCTTTAAGGGAGGTTGTTTCCAGATATGAGATGATTATATCTAAAAATCCTACCACATGCAATTAATCCATTATACACAGAGAATGTATGTAGGTTTTCCTCTCCCATAATATAAGAACTCAAGGTTATTCAGTGAAATGGATTGGCAACATATTTAAGAAAGATGGAAACAGGTGATTCAATGTATATTTATTATTTCAAATTCACTGTTACAAATGTGTTGATGCACCCTCAGATAGCTTTCACAAAGGATTAGTCAAATCCAGAAGACAATGACAGTTGTTAAATAATCAGGATGGCTAAAATGAAACTTCCTTGTTCAGAAGCAGTATACCGCAGATCCTGAGTTGCGCTGAGACACTAACAGCAGGAAAGGTTTCTTTTCTTCAACTCCTGTTTGAATTTTCAAGGTGAATTTGGCTAATCACTGTATGGAAAATGGTGTTTAAAAAAAGAGTTCTGGTCATCTATTCAAAAACTTTTTTTAAAAAACTTGTTTCCTAAAGGGTTGTGCAGTTATAACCGCTGCCTGGAGAAAAGCTAAAAATGTGTTTTTAGTGGCAGAATTTCAGTCATTACGTGCTAGATAATGAAGGTATGCAGAATATAACTTCCTCCCTGAGGATCACAGGTAGGGGCATCAAAGAAGTCAAGATGGCGGTCACAAGTGTGCGACGGAAGCCCGCTCCTTTTTACTGCATAGTTGCCATCCTGACTTTTTGTACACCCCATCCCGGGGAGGCCCTTGATCACAGGCTATTCTCCTTCTGTCTACTTGGAGATGGTATCCCACAATTACAAACAACAGTGGACAGCTTCCAGATCCTTCTTGGTACCTACGCAGTCAGCTAGACTGCCTGGTGCCCAAAACAGTCTTTTAGTGCCTGCTTTCGCCATTCAGCTTAGAACAGGGTTTCTCAACCTTAGCAACTTTAAGATGTATGGACTTCAACTCCCAGAATTCCCC